AATCATCCATGTAACTCACTTATGAATGCATCGATTTGCTTTTCCAACTGCATAAAGCTAGATTATGGTGTGAATAACAAGCCCTGAAATTTTCATTGGATTCAAATTGAAAACAAAAACAAAAAATAGATGAGAAAAACTAATCAAAAATTGAAGTTTTGACCAAAAAAAGACATTTTGTTACATAATAGTCAAAATAAAAGTTCAAGGACAGAAAATCTGAAAGATGCTGATTGTAACACAAAGAGTATGCATTTTTAGACTTACAAGTAGTTGAGCCATTATAATACTTAAAGCGTCCAGATACCATAAAGTGACCCAAAATCGTCAACTTTAAAACCAGCCCCCCCCCTCCCCCACCCCCTTAAAGATAGGCGATGAGTTTACTGAAACAAGTCGCGACTAATACTGAGTTTACAGCTTTTGTTCTCAGTATAGATTAACATGGAGTTAGAATTTTTTTTGTATGTCTTATTAGCTTGCGTAGGTCTACGTACTGAGCTTTGTGTTTTATTTTTTTTTTGTGTTCAAAAGAGGTTATTCTTGTTATTGTTGCTATTGTTGTTGTTGTTGTTGCTGCTGCTGCTGCTGCTGCTGTAACTTCTGTAACTGCGATTGTTGTTTATTATTCTTTTCTTTTAGCCTTCATTTTTTCATAGACAGATCACATTTAGTAAAAAAAAAATTAAAATAATGTTTGCATCATCTGCTTTATAAATATATCAGCATTATGGCTAACTTTGAACGTAAATCAATGTCTTCATAAAGGTGCTTCAAATGTCGTAAAGCTAGCATATTATCTACTTTAATGTTATGCTAATATGTGTAGTATGCTTTTGTCGCTCAGATATTGTTTGGGAAATACATTTTTGGCCGGCGTTCTGGGAACGAATAATTATATTTCTTTCTCTCTTTACTGAACAATTGCAAAAAACTGTTCCTTAATCTTAAAGATCAATGTTATTGTACTGTAGTTGTAGTTGTTTTTGTTGTTGTTGTTGTTGTTGTTGTTGTTGTTGTTGTTGTTGTTGTTGTTGTTATTATTATTATTATTATTACCGTTGTTGTTGTTTGTTGTTGTTCTTGTTGTTACATAATTTTTTGTTTTATTTTCTTTTGGTTTAGTTTTGTCTTTTCTCTTCTTATCTAAATTGATAGTTTTATTTCTGAGCGTAACCTGTAATAGATTCTAGATCTATACATGAACTTCTCTTAGTTTGTACAAATTACTTGTGTCTGTCCTTTAGAAAAGATTATCATTATTAATTAATGAAAAAGCCACAGATACACTTTACCTAAAAAGAAAAAGTTGACTGAAAGATAAACAATGTATCAAAAATTGAGCTAATTTGTTAAGATGACTATATATGCTAAAGCAAGCACAATCATGTCCACCTTTTGATACGAATCAGAAGGTGGCGTCATTGTGATAGAAATGGACAAGGAACACACATACACATACACACACACACACACACACACACACACACACACACACACACACACACACACAGCGCGCGCGCACACATACACACACACACATATATATATATATATATATATATATATATATATATATATATATATATATATATATATATATACACGCACACTCACACACACATTACATACACATACAATAAATACCTGCGGCTGCAACATCACCACCATTCACGCCACCACCTCCACCACAACCGAACACTGCAATCAAACGTGAGTGGGTAGTTGGAGGGCACATCAAGTAAGCCCTACTTCTTTACTTGTTCTCTCTCTCGTTTCTGTCCTACATTTCCCAAGAACTAAATGGGCATTATTGTATCGATGTGCTTCTCTTTACTCAAACCTCAAACAAACAAATCAAAGCAACACTAGTTTAGTTATTGGTCTTATTACTGCTATTATTTTTTCATGTTTTCAAAATCTTCTGGTTGCAGTTGAGTTATTTTGCCTGAAATGTTTTGTTACCATTACAGCCTGCAATTTACATGTATATAACAAAAATCAGTAGACCTTGCACTGATTTATACTAATATTTTAATTCTTAGTCTTCAAAGAGCTTATGGATGGTTACCATTATTATGGATGGCTTTGTCTTGTTACCATTTCAGCCTATGTTCCCTATTTATAGAGATCTGTAGCCCATGCAATAATACTAATATCGTAGCTCTTGGCTTATAGAGAGCTTACGGAATTGCTACCATTACAGACTGTGCTTCTTATAACAAAATTCGTAGACACTGCACTAGTATTGGAGCTCTTGGCCTTTAGAGAGCTTTGTATGGTTACCATTATAATAACTTTGTTACCATAACAGCCTATGTTTCCTATTATAGAAATCCATAGACCATGCACTAATATCGTTACTCTTGGCCCTCAGAGAACTTATGGATGGTGAGAAACTGTTCCGAAGGAAGTCCATCAGGAAAAAGCTGAGGAGGCAGTCCAGCGAGAAGGTGATCCGCAGACAGAGGGCGGGGAGTTTGCCGGACCTGAACGTGGGCTCGGAGCGAGGCAAGAACAGCACAACAGGGTTACCAGCGCTGGCCGAATAATAGAACGATTCATCTTTATTTTTAAACACTTATGTTTATTGGTGTCTTATCGCACCCATCAACACAAACTAGATACGATATTCACTGACGGGCTTTGACCCTGTCTGACAGGAAAGAAGCGCGATACTCGATAAAAATTATCTCACACAGGTTTTGAACTCGTGCCTTCTGCGTGCGGTGGCAAAAATATCTTTACGCTTCATCACAGACGACTAAATGAAGAAGTGAAACAATTAACCAAATCATTGTTCTTTTTTCTGTATTGCATTGATTTGAATTAGTATAACGTCGTATTAGACACTATGATTATTACTTTTTCAGGGCTGAGTACTTGACACCAGTTTGAGGAGAAAAGAAAAAGAAGTTTTACTTTTAGTAAGAGATTTACTGCATTTACAACACAGATAGGCCACATAAGTGTCGAAGATTAAATGTGTTACTAGACAATAACATGCACACAAAAGGAGTAGTGTTGAGGACGATAGATGTTTCCTTGCAAAGAAAGATTTATTGTTTACTTACTTGTGTATGTCGGTTCTAATTATGCCGCAATATTGCTTTATTTTGTTGTGCTGATGATTTGAAGTGTTATGTATGCGCTAAGTAGTTAAGTGATACATGGTGTTCTCGAGAGGTTTGATAATTTAGATAAAGTTAATAAACCTAAATGCAGAAAATAAGCTTAGAAGAATGCTGACGGAGGGGGAAGAGAAATAACAAATAGTGCTAACTACTTTAATTGTTTGTAATACTAGACTAATTCTCAGGGGCAGGCTGGATAATGTTTGATAAGCCCTTCTGTGACAGATATAATTATTCTGAAAACGATAGCGGACAGCTATACGACATTGCGCAACGGAGCTCGGCGCACCTGTATGCGGTCGTGGTCTATCGCTGAACGATATGAGAAATGAAATATTGTAATTGTGTGTTAGTCTTTCTCGTGGGGATTAAAGACGAGATATTTAGTTTCGTCTGCCACGGACCGTGTAAATGACATGGCGCTTTGGTGTACAGGCAGAGTAGAGAGAGAGAGAGAGAGAGAGAGAGAGAGAGAGAGGGAGAGAGAGAGAGAGAGAGAGAGAGAGAGAGAGAGGGAGAGAGAGGGCAGAGAGAGAGAGACTTTGTAAGTGTGTGGATATGTTTGTTTGTGTATGCATGTGAGACAGAGAGAGAGAGAAAGAGAGAGTGACCGAGAGAGAGACAGAAGGAAAGAGCGAGAGAGAGGGGGGACAGAGAGAGAGAAAGAGAGAGAGAGCAAGAGAGAGAGAGAGCAAGAGAGAGAGAGGGAACCGAGAGAGAGAAAGAGAGAAAGCAAGAGAGAGAGAGCAAAAGAGAGAGAGAGAGAGAGAGAGAGCAAGAGAGAGAGAGCAAGAGAGAGAGAGAGAGGGTGGGGTGGACGTGTGTGTATATGTCTGTGTGTATGTGAGAGAGAGACAGACAGACAGACAGACAGACAGACAGACACACACACACACAGACACACAGACAGACAGACAAAGACATTATTTTGTAGCTCGATAGCAGCTGCTTGTGACGTATATCTGGGGGACAGATGGTAACCTGTAGCTATTGTTATGTTTAGAAGGCTCTTTTCTCTTTTTTTATCTTCCACTTTCGATGGAATTATTATGTGCACGTTTATAATGAAAAAGAAAAGATCAAACGTTTTTCCTTCATCATCCCTGTCCATTTTATGCAAATTTTGGGTTCGTGTGAAGAAAACTCATTCAAAGACTGGTGAATAGTCTGATATTGTTTGAATGTTTATTAGAAGCTATCATCATCATCATCATCATCATCATCATCATCATCATCATCATCATCATCATCACCACCACGACTATTTCTACCACTACCAATAGCACGAATAATGGTCCTGGGGTTTTTTCAATAGCTAATGCTATGCCATTGCACCTGCCACGCATGAATAAATCTGAATAAATCACTGTATCACATGCTGTCATGAGCCTTCACTGATTCTATTTTCGAGAGAGTCGTGTCTTGGTGACTGTTTGGGTGGGCTTACGTGCGGGGGAGGGAGGGAGGTGGAGCGCCCAAGGAAGAGATGATGGGTGGGGGGTATGTGAAGGACGATCAGTTTATGAAGGAGACAGAAGCTCCTTCAATCAAAACAGAGACGATGCTCTCTTCTCTCTCTCTCTCTCTGTGTGTGTGTGTGTGTGTGTGTGTGTGTGTGTGTGTATTGTGCGTGCGTGTGTGTATGTGTGTGTGTGTACCAGAGAGAGAGAGAGAGAGAGAGAGAGAGAGAGAGAGAGAGAGAGAGAGAGAGAGAGAGGGGGGGGGGGGTCATCGTGATGGTATCAGGGGCCTTGTTAGAATAATGAAATCGAAGAAACTGACATTTTTCAGTCATTTGGGCAATTTTTATAGGCATTTCCATAACACAAATAAAAGAACAAGAAGGTTTTTTTCATTATCATTTATTCAACACGTCTGTTCTCTATTATATTATCCACTCACGCAAGTAATTCATGATAGGATCTTATATTTCCACTATAATATTTGGTTAGATGAGAGTCGCCAATAAAAACATCTTCATGCTAGATACAACACAGCAACAACAAAAAAAGAACAACGTTAAAAAGTCCAACATTCTGTACCAAATTTAGCTGGTCGTTTCCCCCATGCATGGTAACCACGAAAAAGGTTATATTATTATACTATTTTAAATCAACCTTCCTTCTTGGTTTTCCGTTCGACACAGTTGCCTGGGATGTTCATGACTTGAGGATCCGATATAGTAGAGTTCCAGCTAACGAAAGAGTAAGCCCAGGCCTCGAAGTCTCCCATGGCCTTACGAACGACCGGTACGTTAGGTTGTCCAGGCACGTTTGTGAACGAGGCCACCATCTTACGACCCATGTTACTGAACTCCCATGACGTCACGGGCAGAGAGCCGTCCAGACCGAAGAAAGAGGAGCCCATGTATTTGGCGGTGGGTGGCAGGCAGCGATCATAGACGGAGTTCGCAGGGACAGGGTATTTCTCGCACCTGTGGTTGATAAAAGGATGTTTAAGTAAGAGTGTTGTGGCACATGTAATACAAATGGATCTTGATTTTTAGTTTCAGTAAGCGCTTTATTATATTTGTACCACAAGCAGGTCATAGGTTGTGGTTTTAGTTTTTTTGTTTTTTGTTTTTTTGAGCTTAGTTAGAGTGTTACGGCACTTGCAACACAAATAAGCTATATGAGCGCCGAAAATTAGAGGTGTTAAACATACAAAGAAAAATCGGTATTTAGTTTATGTAAAAGTCTTACGACATTTGGATCACTGACAGGTCATATAAAGTCTCTTGACCTGATGTCACAAGGAGATGGACATTAAAATCATTGTCATGCCGAGAAAAAAAGACAGACTTCGGGTGGTGGGAGTGTGTCACTGGTAGGTCCAACTTCTTTTCTTTCAACCCCTGTTATATTTGTCTGTACTATAATATTATGTTAAAAGAGGAGTCCACTCAAAATTGATATCGAATAGTTACAGGAGGTAACAAGAAAAAAATAAAAAAGTTTTTCTCCCTTTTCTGAAAAATGTTCTCGCATGGGATAAGTGACGATTTATTTCCTGTCGTAGGAAGTAAAGAGTTGTTGAGACGTATCTGCGTTTCACAATAGCAGTCATATAGTTTGATTCTTGTTGTTGTGTGGGTTTTTCTGTGGGTTTTTTTTGTTTGTTTTTCTTTAAGTTTAAGTAAAGAGAACCACATCAGCACAAGAACAATCGTATAGTCTGTTTGTTTGTTTCTTTCTTTCTTTCTCTCTTTCTTTGAGTAAAGAGATCCACATCGACACAATAACGGTAATTACGTTGTTGGGAAAAGTAAGACAGACAAGAGAAACAACAGAGAAGTAAAAAAAATAGGACCTACCAGTGGCTCCCACCAACCACCTTCACAGTCACATAATGTTAGGAAGAAGCAAGACATACAGACAAAAATAACAGAGGTGAAGAAAAGAAGTTGGTATTACAAGTCGTGGTGTCCTCTAACGACCCCAAGCACGTACCTGCCATCAGGGAAGATCTCATATCCAGTGAGGTTGTTCCAGGAGCGAATCAAGTGGAACTTGAAGTTGATACCTATCACACCGACCATGTTTTTGTCGAAGTCCATAGCAATGTAAGTGACATTCTGTGAATGAGAAGGTTATTTTTTTTTTTTTTTTTACTTTGCACGAGTTTTTCTGTTCTACGGCAGGTACTTGAAACACAAATTTATATATATCACCACACAAGTTGCGAAGGTAAGATTTGAGTTTTAGTTTCAGTAAGTACGTAAGTGCCGAAGATTAGATTTAAACCTATAAGGACAATAGAAGGCAGATAGGAGAGATGGAGCAGACTTTACAAGAGCGCAGAACGGCATCATGCTTAACTTATTTTCCATTTGTTAATTTATACAGGTAAACTAATAAGACTGATAATTCAGGTGATACAGGTGGTATAAATGCTGATAATTAAACGTTTCAAGCCTACTAGTGAGTAACGTACAAAGAAAAGAAGAAGGAAAGATAAAAGAAACGATGATTGTTTGAGGAGCAAACCACACTAAAACACCAGTGAACTACCCCCAGCGAGTGATAACTAGCAACAAAAAGAAGAGTGAAGTAATCTTGATAAACATCTCTTTAAAGGAAAAAACAACAATTACAAAACACAGAAGAAACACTTTCGATTCTGTGGTATCTCGACAAAATGGTCCTTTCTCTCGGTTGATCACGGGTAAACAATAGTTCTACTTTATTCGACCGCTGCTATTTGTGTACGAGTGTTTATCTGGGTTATCTATCATAAGGTTGTTTCAGATATTTTGCTACACAGGCTTTCATTTGTGGCATATATTTATTTGTCCAATAGTGCACATTATTTGCATAGTCTTTGTTGCTTTGTTTAACTAAAGAGGCGCAAGCTCACACATTTACCTCGATCATTTAGTGCAGGGTAAAAATAGGAAAGACAAACAGAAACAACAGAGATCAAGAAAAGAAGTAGAGCTTACCAATGGCGCCTTCCAACCACCCAGCTTTATTTGGTCCCCCCACCCCCTAAAAAAGTTGATAGATCATTGGTCAATGTATGGGTTTAACTGCAAGTTAGATCATTGGTCAATGTATGGGTTTAACTGCAAGTTTATTTAAGAAAGGGGGGGGTCCAAATAATCTATATTATCATTCACCTTCACGAGGACCAAGCCAAAAAGCCAAATGGGTGTAAGGCCATACGCATTCTCAAAACAACCAAATCAGATAACCCAGTTGGGGATTCGAACAAGGGCTACCCGCTCTGTAATCCAACATGATACCAGCGGAAACCAACGGTGCACCCCAAATAGCCGAGTAATGTCAAAATTAAACTTTAAATTGTTTGATTTGAAATTGCTTCCTCGGAAATTTTTCCACGACAAAAATCAAGGAAAGGCTTCACGTCCTCATAAAAAGGGCATACTAAAAATACTATTTATTTTGAAATAGATGGTGCTATAAAAGAGTTTCCAAAGTCTTAATTTCTTAAAGTCCGTATTCTTACATCGAAATGTTTTACCACATTTTATACGTTCTTATTGTTAAAAAGGAAATCAGCCAGTCTGATTCAAAGTTTTATAACATAATATTCTTTGGACTATGCAAGTAAAGAATCATGATCTCTAATTAGATACAAATCCACAAGGTCCAATTTAAACTTTGTGTTTTTGTTTTAGGGGTTCTTTTTGTGTGCTATGGAGTTTTTTGAGTGGGGGGGGGGGTAAGAATTTTACGGCACTTGCAACACGTATAGGTCAAACAAGATTGGAAGTGTTACTACTAGAGAGTAACTTACATACATAATATTGTTAAAGACAGAAAAGGAGAAAGACATACAAGGACGATGGAAGTTTGATATGCTCGAATTTAAGAAACAAACAACACCAAAGCGTGTAAACGTTACAAAATGTCTTTCTCGATAACCCATCAAAAATAACGAGGGGAAAGCAGCCACCGGAAAGTTTTTTGGCTATCAAGCAGCGTCTTTCTTTGACAGGTCAGACGTTTCACTTGTCATTACCATCACGCGGATATTAGACCAGACAGAGCGTAAAAGTATAAGAGAAAATCCACAGTACATTTTAGTCTTGTGCGAGTGTATGTGAGTGTGTGTGTGTGTGGGGGGGGGGGGTAACAGGTTCAAGCAGACAAATTTCGATTGCGAGCTTTTTCTTTCTTTCAAAATATTGCTCTTTGTTACGATAATTGACATTATTACTTTGGCTAACCACTAACTTTCTTTACAGTCGATTTACCTATATGGGGGTGGTAAGGGGGAGGAAGGTCCTGAAATGGTATTTCAAAATACCATACTTATTTATTTTTTTTATGATTTAGTTTTATAGAGAAGGCTATTCAAAATATCAACGACGTCTGTAAAGTATTATCACTTAGGCGCTCCACTGTCGCACGCAGGAGGCCCAAGTTCGATTCCACAGTAAATTGGTGGTTCAGAGTATTCCTCTCAGCACCCGTTGGCTCTGGCAGCAGCTGCTGCTACTGTCGGAAGCCCGACTCCTAAGTGATTTAAATTGCACAATGGGTGCGTTAAAGGCTCTCGTGGTTAACCTCTCGCCTAGAGGTTAAGGTGTTGGCCTCTCATTTAAAGGTCCCGGGTTCGAATCCGGGTAGCGACCGAAACATTTTCTTCTCTAAAATGTGTCTCTCTTCTCCCTCTTGCCTTCTCTCTTGCAATACTCTGTCGTCTGTTTTCGTCTCCACTGTTTCCCCCACCCACTCACCTTCTTTGCCCCCTCCTCTGGGCTCCTGACTCTTTGTGCAGTCTATCTACTGATACTCTTTGGTTCCTTCTTACTGCTGTCTTTCTGCCACACCCCTGATTTTCTGGTAGGAAAGATCAACTCCTAGCCTTCTCAGACAAGGGCAAAAAATCCCGGAGGGTCCGTGTACAAGTTGCACACGTTAAAGATCCCTTGGTGGTCTAAAATCGATAAAAGTAGGCTTCAGCCGCCACCAGGGCAAACTTCCAAATTTCCTACCAAATGCAAATATTAGGTGTGTCCAGCGCGCTCAAATGACCTTATGCAGTTGCGAGCGCCGCAAAACACTTACCCCCCCCCCCCAAAAAAAAAGAAAGAAATGTCAAAACAAAAGCGTGGGGATCAACATACCTTTGTGTCCATGTTAACGGTGAAGAATTCCGATTTCTCGGGATAACACACTTTAGTGGGGTCTGGACTCTGAGCCGAGGCCAACACCACGCAACAGAAAACTGTTAGATAAGCAGCGAACAAAGCCATCATCGTCTTTTCCTCTCAACGTCTACGTGCCTTAATAGGTGGACACCACAGGTAAACTGAGCACGCTTTTCTTTGCACTGGCCACTTGAAAGGGGAGTTGAGTGTATATATATATATTATGATATATATATATATACATAATATATATATATATATATATATATATATATATATATATATATATATATCACAGTCTGTGAGTCTCACCTCCTCCCCTTGCCCCTCCCCCTCCCTAAAGAGATCTCCTGTCGTTGTTTTTTCCCTTTATCCTATTAAGAAAGACAGTGGGCGGAAAATAAATAATTCACGATTCTCTGTTTATGCTGTTTATGTTGACAGACCTCATTTTCGAAAGGTGCAAAGCTATCGCGGGCGAAGGCTTTATGTGGTTAATTAAATGTGTTGATTATCAGTAGGAATAGCAGTAGAGTAGGAGTAGGAGTAGGAGTAGGAGTAGGAGTAGGAGTAGCAGTAGGAGTAATAATAATTATAATAATAATAATAATAATAATAATAGTAGTAGTAGTAGTAGTAGTAGTAGTAGTAGTAGTAGTAGTAGTAGTAGTAGTTGTTGTTGCTGTAGTGACGGTGGTGATGACTGTTGCAGTAACTCCAGCAGCACCAAAACTAAGAATTCAATACTGGCTACTACCACGAAGTTCTCAAAAAGGGACCACTGCGTTCACATCCGAGTAAATTTTTGTGAGTCATGACGCGGTGGAATCAGGCGCTCGTCAATCTTTTAGTGTATGGTTACGAAGTTATTGGTATTATCATAAAGCTTGTTCATTGGTCTTGCTTTATTCAAAATGTACCTATATCTTAAACTGAATTCGTCATGTTTGCGATTAAATGGGTTGGGGATCGCGCCCAGTGTCAGAGGTAGCGAGAAAATAGCTACTAAAGTTTGGAAACTTCAAAAGTTTGAATGTTTTTTTAAACTGTAAATTTACATTTTTGTGTGCATTTGATCAACTTGTTTCACACCTAGACATGTTTTTAAAATGGACATTTAAATTGAAGATTGAAAAGAATTGCCCATGAGGGCTGAAACGTGTCGGTTTCTTCGATTTCATTATTTTGACGATCGCCTGATTTCATCACGATGACACATATAGTGTCCCTCAGGTGTTGAGCTCGTTGAGCTCAGATCAACAAGGTATATCGTAAATCGGGTTTGTTTAGCGTGCATAGTTTTCTTGGGTCACAAGGTTAATAAATAAGTTAATGAACTTGTGAGTCCATCCATGCGGCTTTCATCCGCGCAAGTTGTGGGCAGACTGTGGATATTTGTTTAAGATTGATTAAAGTCGGCTGTGTAAAGTGAGTCATTTAATAGTAATCTAACTGCTAACTAAACCAAGCTCCCTCTGTTAAGTGAGGTGCATTGTTTGGTTGTTGTTCAAGATTCCAAGTTTTGTACTAGGTACAGATTGGAACAGGTGATGTGTCTGAAAATTAAACAATGTTTCAGGAAAAAAACCATTATTAATAGAATAAGTTCAGTTGCTCCAAGTTTGCCATTGCAGTTCCAGTTTCCTCTCATGTGAGACATTGTTGTGAAATCAAGCTCTCATCAAAATAATGAAAGAGAAGATACCGGCAGTTTTCTGCCGTTTTGACAGTTGTATCAAACTTGCGTTGTTGTTGTTTTTAAAAAATTGTTTGTTGTTATTTTTTATTTTTTTTGCTCAGCACTTTTTAATGTCCATTTCAAAGCACATTTCTTTGTGGATTCTACTGAAAAACATTGATTAAAGGCACATAAATGTAAATTTCGTTTCCAAGTGTTCACAAGCTATGGTCGTAACCAAACTTTGGCAGTCATTTTCTCGCATATTTTACC